GGATCTGAGAATAAGAATGCCTTTATAGTCAAGCCGAAGCCTAAAGAGTCTTTAAATACTTTATTCGAGGTTCGACATCTAAGACATCTAAACAGAAGCTATTTTTTAAAGGACTCTGTTAAGAGTGGATTTTTATACCCTTCACCACACTGTGGTACAGGGTATTATGTCATTGTGCATATGTTTGTAACAGGCAAAAGGAAACGAGATAGACTCTTTTTAAGTCGATTTATTCATGTCCGTCCGTCTGTCTATGTTAAATTGTAAATAACGTACAGGTAAATAAGGTACTGGTACAGATATAGCTCCCATATATAGTTTCGTCCGATTTAACTATATATGGGAAATGTTTTTTGAGGGCTTTATTAAGCGTGATTATGTTAATTTTTTTTTTTTTTTTGAAAGACCATGTCAAGCTTGGATTTTAAAAAATTTATTTTTGAATGGTCATTTTAAGAGTATATCAAAAAATATTTTTTTGATTGGTCATAGTAAGCGTGGATTTAAAAAATAATTTTTGAAAGGATATATTAAGCGTAAATTAAAAAATAATACATTTATTGGCGGGTCATATTAAGCGTGGATTTAAAAAATATATATTTTTGAAGGGCCATATAAAGCGTGGACTTTAAATTAAAAAAAAATTTAAATGCCATATAAGAGGCCATTAAGAGTGGATTTAAAGATTTTTGAATGTATTTTTTTTCACAACTATGGACTGATAATTATCGATGTTATTTTGAAATCTTTTTAAATAATTTATGATTATTTAGAAGCTTTGATATCCCAAAATGAATTCAATTCGAAATTTTGTATTCAATATATTATTGCCAAAAAACCAAGCCTACATCTTATTTGTAATACAATGTGACCCACATAATTGTTACCGAATTTCAATATTTATTTACTTTATGGTATTTTTAGCTTCAATTTTTGGCATTTGCATAATAGTTTTGCTTGATTTGCATAATAAAACCATTTTGGAAATCTGAACAACAATAACACCTGTGATTTATAAACATTAATATTCTTTTGATTCATATGACATTCTAAGCAGTGAGTGACAGTCAATTGATTGCAACCAATTGTGATGATGACAAATGGTTTTTTGTCGAATAGAATGATTAATATTTTTATTGGGAGGAATAAATTTTGGCAAAGAATTAAGAAATAAATTAGAATTTAATTTAAAAATAGCTGCTATGGAGATTACAGTAAAAATGTTTAAAAAAATCCACGCCTATAGAGGCAAAGGAGTTTTTTTAAATCTACGCCTATAAAGGTGAAGATTTTTTTAAATGCAGGTCTATGGAGACTTTTGGATTTTTTTTTCTTAATCTACGCCAACAGAATCTGTTGGAAAAAGTATTTTTAACAAAATATGCCAATGGAGACTAGGGAAAAATAAGGATTTTCTAATCTACGCCTAACAATGTGAAGTGGTATTTTTAAAAATCCACGCCTTTGGAGACTATTGGTGTAAATATTTTAAAAAGTCTACACAAATAAAGACTAAAATCTACGATGATTTCCTTTCAGAAACCCCAAAACTCTGTTTTATGTTTGTGTTTTTAGTCTTTCGTTTTTTTTCCTTTCCATCTCCTTTTACTCTAAACATGGTGTAATTACACAATCTAATATCAATTCATTGGAATTGTGTATACAATTACTTCCTAACCATATAACACACAACAACATAACAGTATCCTTACATCACATCACACAAACACACCAACAAACATCACATCATATCCTGTCTATTAAAACATAATTTACACTTTCATATGCAAATTTTCATATTGTTCGTGACTTAAGTCTTTCACATTTGCCAATCCGCCAATCTACCAATCTCTTCAGCCATTAGATTTTGTGCACTGAATATAATAACCAAAAAAAAAAAAAACAAATTGAGCAATTAATTGGAATTTTGAACAGAAAGAAAAAATTAACCCAGTGAATGCAGTTTTACCCAGAAAGAGAGAGAGACGTCATAGAAAGCAGTGATGGTCATAAATTTCAAAACGGCTAACGGTGTGATGCGTCTTTTTTTTTTGCAAATTCATGGCGAGAGGAAGTTACGCGGAAGTTTTACTTGATTATAAACACTCACCCAAAATAAATTTTGATATGAAAACATTGTATGTAATAGTTAGTGGTCAGACGACGACACATTGTCGTCATCACCTCTTTAGCGAATGTGATGTGTGTGTGGTGTTTAACATATATGCAACTCACAGAGTTAAGTAAGCAAAAAAATTCGAAAAATAGTTATAACAACAACAACAATAAAAAGGAAAGTAGTTGAACAAGAAATGTAAATTAATCTGTTACTCTGGGGCATACATGTGCATGACGTTTTGAGAGAGAAAAATAAGAAATTATGAAACCAATATGGTAGCGACAAGGAGGTAAATTTAGGAACACTACTAATTTACAAGATGACATTCTTTGATATTGAGCCATTCAAAAGCCATTAAGATTTCATATATGAGATCCTAAGACCAAAACGCTACAATTTTTAGAGATAAGGAAAATAGGCTTTTATTAGGAATACAACTACAGGGAGCCTAGGGCGATTTGAAGCCATTCATAAACTGCTAAAGAATGGACTATTTTCTGTAGAGTCCTTATTACGAGATAAGCCCTATTATTTCGTAAATATATGGGAGTTCTAAGAATCCACGGATGCTTCCGACAATACGGTATCTTTTTTTAGTGAAGCGAGGTTAATTTTTTTTACAGAAATACTACTTCCGCTGAAATCTTTCATAGACCAACTGATAAGGATAATTCCAGCAGGTAGTCCCTAGTTCGCTAACTTACTGATTATTTAAGCTATATTCATTTCAGCTCAAAGCTTCGATTTCTGAGAGACGCACTAAAAATACTGACATAGGAGTCAGCATTACACAAATGTGCAACATCAGCAAGGATATTTCTTAGAAACACCTGAAGAAGATAGAAACGTGGACTACGAAATGGGCAGTAGAAGAAATTATGTGCATTCCGAGGAAAGATACAATTTTTTTATAATGCAACTGAGGTGCTGAAGCTCTACGATTCTTTATAGACTAGCTGAAGCTCAGAGAATCCTTCTAGTACATCATTGGTCTTGGTATACTTTATAGACGTACTGAGGCTCATGGATTGATCTTTATAAACGATCAACATCTCAGTAAGTATTTGTAATCGTTCCGAGCCCACAATATGCTCAATAAGTCTGTATAGACGAGTTGTGGTTTAAAGCTAAGGTCCATGAATATTTAAACAAAAATGAGTTCAAATTCAAGAAGTCTTAACATCAGATGAGCCTCAGTTAGCTCGGTATCCTCAGGAAAAGAATACCAGAGGTACTCAGGTCAGTTGATAGAGGAAATGAATGGGTGGGATTCATTATAGACAAACAGAAGCTTTGGGAATTTTTATAGAAAATTCGAAGCTTTGATAGTTCGTATAAACTAAATAAGGATCGGCGATTTTTATTGAAGATCTGTAGCATTGTAGCTCTAGTATTCTTTATAGACAAGCTTAAGTTCAGAGAATCGTTATACATCAAAAGAAGTCTAGCTTAGATTTATCGAGAAGATGTGGCTCATATAGTCTCTTTATAGACGATAAGAAGCCCAGGAAGCTCTTTGTATACGTTTCGAGGCTCAGAATGTCCTTAAAGATAAGCTGAGGATCAAGTGTTGTTGTTCATGGCTGCGATCAAAGAAACCTTAAACATAGACGAGTTGAGATTCAGGGAGCCTTAAAATCAGATCTGGAGCTCAGGATGTCTTGTATGGACGAGTAAAAGGTCAAAAGTTACTTTTTAGATGAACTATAGCATGGGGGCATGGTATATATGGACTGAGCCCCGTCGAGTCTGTAGGGTTAAAAGTTATTAGACGATGAGAATTTCGCAAAATCTTTGGAAGCGAGGCAGGGTCAGGATATTGAAGAGGTGAAACCTTTTTAGAAAAATATAGGTTCAGGTTACATATAGGTTACAGATAAGCATAGGCTCCAGAAAATCGTTGAAAAAAATATGTTCCAAAAAGTTTTCATAGTCGACCTGAGTTGAGCTCAGGGAGTCATTACAAGTTAGCTGTAGATCAATAACTCTTGGTAGACGAGCTATGTAAGGAATGCCTAGGTGAGGCATATGTAAAGTTTCAAACTAGAACCTGACAAGAAGTCGACAAGACCGTATGGTCAACCAGAAGGGACATTTTACGGGCTTTATACTGATTGAAATAATATGTGGGGAGAATATTTTAGAGTTCGGGAACACCTTCCTTGATTTTGAACCACTTCTTAAATCTCGAACGGAGTATTTTAGGTGTTTTCATGGAAGCCCAGAATGAAGTCTGTATAGCCGATTTTTTGGAATATTCATAGGCGATCAGTAGGTAGCCTTTCTAGCTGGAAAAAAAATAATTTTTCGATAACCAAAATGGATAAATATAACGCTTAAGAGATGTATCTATAGATAGTCACCTTAGAGACTTATAAATGAAAAACTTTACAGACCTTCAAGAAGAAGTAACAGGCTGTTATTGTAGTAGCTCAACTGGGTTGGGGTGACAGATCTTGGCGGAATTATAAATCTCACTGTAGAAGAAACACGAAAATGGTAGTACTTGGAAAGTATATATTTTGCTTCATGGAATATGATACTTTTATATTTTTAGTCCGTTGAAATTATTAATCCCCCTTAGCATATTGTAGGGTATTCATCACATTTCAAAAAAAAATCTACAAAAAACCAGCAGCAAATGTTTAAATAGAAAACAAAACAACCATTTTGCCAAATAACTGGTAGTCAATTGATGAAGTAATTGATAGATTTGACAGATGAACAGACGAGCAGACATACACAGCAATTTACAGGGGCCAACATTGTTAAACGATGATGGAATCCATAAATAAAAATGAATTTTATGGTCACGATGGCCAATAAATTCCAAACAACCATTTGGATGTTTTTCCTTTCTTTTCATTAAAAAAAAACTTACCTCATCTTCAATTTTCTCCAAATTTACACCATGTGTTGCATTGGCATCCTCGTTCATAAACCACATTGGCAGTTTGTGCAATTCACCTTTCTTATAGAGGCCTTGCGTTTTCTTTAACGTTAAATTCAATTTTTGACCAAAGGCCGCCAGTTGTACTTTATGTTCGTGAATATCCTTAACATGTTTACGTTTTTGGTTGTCCGTTAGGCTATTGGCCTTTTTCGGTGATGATTTTCCTCCTTCACTAAAATATGGTGTCTTACTGAGATCTTTTTTCACGTGATGCAAATCGTCATCTGTGGCCGAGTTGGGTGTCAGCTCATCAATGCTACGTTTTCGACGACGATAATTACTATACGTCGAGGCAGATGATGGCTCTTCACTGTGCTGATGGAGTAGTTGTACAACTTCATATTGTGGCACTGCATCATGAGAATCGACATGGAATATCGATTGCAGCTGTTGCGGTGACATTTGTTTGTGGATCTGGAAATAAAGAAAACATAATTTTTTTAATATTAGAGGTCAAGTATTAAGAAGTGATACTAATGAAATCTAAAAAATGAATAGAATTAGAAAACCAGATTTCTGGTAATATTTTCCATGAGCTCATTTATTTTACCATCAATTAGTTTCACCCTATTATTATCATAATCCATAACCGATTATATGGCCTATCACAATGAAAAAAACCTTGGCCTATATTCCCAAATCAATTCATCAATGTGTTATCAAAATACTAATCCAATTCCAAAAACCAGATCACTTCAAAAAAAGTCAAAACATATTCAGGAGATAATTAAAAAACAACACTGACAACTTAAGTGCAGGTTAGCCAAAGTGTTGTGAACTTCAGTTTGAATGATGGGCTCATGTAATTAACTCGCTGAAATATAATTGGAATCTTGTTAAGATAACTCATCGATTGGGCATTGGAATAATCGGGGGTTTGGAAATCATAGGGGAAGATTTTAAATAGAAAAAAATAGCAGAAAAAATTAACTGAAATGGGTCGTTATAGTCAATCTGAATGCAATGTTTGGAAATGGCCTGAAGGAAGCCTCTATAAGCGAGCTGAAGGATTTTACTTCAGCGGAGATGAAGGAAGACTCTATAGACGAGCTGAAGGGAACCTCTTTAGGTGAAGACGAACTGATCAGGATCATTATAGACGAATATTTCATAGACGAACTGAAGGAAGTCTCTATAGAAGGCCTGAAGGGAGTCCTTATAGAAGAGCTGTCTCTATAGATGATATTCACAGACGGGCTGAAGGGAGTCTTTCATAGATGAGCTGAAGGGAATCTTTCATAGACGAGCTGAAGGGAGTCTTTCATAGACGAGCTGAAGGGAGTCTTTCATAGACGATCTGAAGGGAGTCTTTCATAGACGAGCTGAAGGGAGTCTTTCATAGACGAGCTGAAGGGAGTCTTTCATAGACGAGCTGAAGGGAGTCTTTCATAGACGAGCTGAAGGGAGTCTTTCATAGACGAGCTGAAGGGAGTCTTTCATAGACGAGCTGAAGGGAGTCTTTCATAGACGAGCTGAAGGGAGTCTTTCATAGACGAGCTGAAGGGAGTCTTTCATAGACGAGCTGAAGGGAGTCTTTCATAGACGAGCTGAAGGGAGTCTTTCATAGACGAGCTGAAGGGAGTCTTTCATAGACGAGCTGAAGGGACTCTTTCATAGACGAGCTGGAGGGAGTCTTTCATAGACGAACTGCGGTTTAGGGAATGTTTAGACATGAGTAAAGGCTCAGGAAGTCTTTATAGTTTATCATAAGTCTTTATAGACGACCTGAAGTTCAGGATGTCTTCATAATAAGCGAGTTTAAGCTCAAGCTGTTTTTGTAGAAAATCTGTTGATCGTGGAGTTTTTACAGACAAGCTAAAATTCAGGGAGTTATATAGACTTGCTGTGGCTAGCTGAGGCTCAGGAAGCCTCCATAGACAATCTGAAGCTCAATTAGTCTTTAAGATGGTTCAGGGATTCTTTGTAGACAAGCTGAGGCTCGGAGAGTTTTTATATACAATATGAGGCTCAAGAAGTCTTCATTGGTAGTCTTTATAAAAGATCCGAAGCTACGATAGTCTTTTAGGTAGCTCTGGGAGTTTCCATAGATAAGTTGAGGCTCAGGGTGTCTTCATAGACAATCTGAAGCTCATGTTGTCCTTATTGATAGCTCAGGGAGTTTTTATAGCTAAGCTGAGAGAGCTCAGGGAGTCTTAATAGACTCTCTTCCTGAGACGAACTGACTCAGAAATACTTTATAGACGAATTGAAGATCATGGTGTTTTTATAGACAAACTGGGCCTCAGGATGTTCTTATAGAGAATCTGATAGCCGGAGTATTTACATAGACAAGCCAGGGTGTGTTTAAAGATGGCCTACAAATCAATGTGTCCATATAGAAGGCCTATCAAACTTATAGACGAACTGACTCAGAAAGACTTTATAGGCGAAGATCATGGGTTTTTTATAGACGAACTGGACGAACTGGAGACGAACCAATTAAAGGGAGTATCTAAGGGGCAGCTTCATAGGGAAATTTTTAATGGGCAAATAAAGGGAAGTCTTCAAGGGTGGTCGAAATTAGTTAAAGCCTACGAAGATATTAAAGACTTCTTCAGTTCGTATATAGAGACTATTTGGCTCCCTATACAGACACCTTGATCTGCAGGTCATCGTCAACATGCACACCCTGGCTTGTGTGCATGCATACGATGACTAATTTCGAGCACCCTTGAAGACTTCCCTTTAAAAAAAATCCCGTTTTTGCTCTATGAATTCGAATTTAAAAAGTACCCTTTTAATTCCCTTCTTTATATGCTTCTGCTTCTTCATTGTCTCCAATTATGTGTGACCTTCAATTCCTTTTTGGATTGGTATCTGATTTCTAAATAATGTCCATCTTCGTCGAATCTAAAAATAGACTTGGACAACAGCCATACATTGCAAAAAACGTAAGTTCCCATTATAGCACCATCAGCAACCAGCTTCCTTTCCATTTTGTTATCCACCGAACAACACAAAACACACCTATATTCCGGAGTTCATTGTATGATACCCAACACACAAAAAACCAGTTGCAAGAAAAAAGGGCTTAAACTTCAATTCATGTATTGGAAATATTCTTACTCTACCAATCAATACACACACACATGCAGATAAAATTCAATTATCTACAAACCAATAAAAGATCCGACGTACAGTTACTTAAAATTGACCGTTATTATGGGTTGCTGTTTTTTTTTTCAATTTTTTGCTGTGAACAGCATCCGGAGAATTACATGAAAAAATACAACAAAACAAAATTAAACTAAAACCGGCTTCTTGGTACCCTTTTCTGCAGAATCTGCAAGCTGTAACTCCAAATGGACAGACAACAATGTAAAAACTACAGTTAAAATTTAATAACAACAAAAAGAAAAATATTAACAATGAAAAACAAAAATCAGAATAAGAAACACAGCAACAAAGACAACAACAACAAAAATCCAAATACAATTAAATATTGTTGTTGTTAAAGAAAAACAACAACAAAAACAAACAGCTAGCTAGCCGACCAGCAAACATTGGCATCATTGGTTTTTGCATTAATAACTTCAGTTATTATACTCGTGGACCAAGCCAGCACAACTGTTCGACGTACCGAGAGCTAAATCTTGTGCTAAAAGCTGTTGCCGTTGTTGTTGCTGTTGTTCGGTTTCAGACCCAAACTGAACCAAATGTGGTTTACCTTGTCGTCATCATAAACGCAACAACTTTTTTTCTTCTTCGTCTTCTAAAACAAAACAGAAAGCGAAGGAAAAATATCGATGCTGATAATAGCATTGTATTGTGGTATTCTTTAGAAGGGATGGAGGTATGTATTTTGAGGGGAGGGAGAGAAGGGGTTTCAAAAGGTATTAGGCAGTTTTTTCAGTTTTTTAACAAAGCTAGGGTTTCACACGCTGCTGCTGGCAAAGAATGATTGATGTTTTTTAGCAAAAGATTTATGTCCATCAAAACGAGATGATTTCTATAATCCAAAGGTTCCATTACAGAGCTATTGACTGAGCCTATGTGCTAAGTTTCAAAGATTACTTTCAATTTTTTGTTTCTTAATAGCTCAATGCCGCAATTGCAGGCATCCGATTTTTTTTCTCTCAATAGAAACCAGTTATGAAATTGATATGTCATGGCACTTTAATGTGACAGGGGTTGGAGTCTAATAGACGAAGCTGAATGGGACTTCAAGAGAACAGAAAGAAGATTCGGCCTCTACATGCAAGCTGAAGGGGGCTTTTATAGGCGAGTTGGAGGGAACCTTTATAGGAGAACTGATGGAAGCCTTTTATAGGCGATCTCAAGGAAGTCTTTATAGGCGTGGTGAAGGGATCCTTTATAGGCGAGCTCACTATAACCTTTATAAGTGTACTGATAGGAGCCTTTATAGACTATCTTAAGGGAGTCTCTACAGACTAGCTAAAGGTAGATTTTACAGACGTGCTAAGGAGGTCTCTATGAACCAGCTGAAGGGCATCTTTATCGACGAGCTGGAGGGAGATTCTATAGACGATTTGAAGGGAGTCTTCATATATATATGGGTGTCTTTATAGACACACTGAAGCATTGGGAAAGGCTCTATATAGAGGCCAGGAAGTCTCGACAGATAGACTTGAGCAGAACTTTTTCCTAAATGTAGATGGGAATTTTTTACAGACAAGCCTGAGTGCAACTGATGCACGGGGGATGAGCTAAAGCTCTGGGGATGAGATGGAATCTCTAATGGATGAGCTAGAATCTCGTCAATTGACGAGCTGGAATCTTTAATTGACCAGATAATGTTCAAGGAGTATTTAATAGAATACTGAGACATCGGGGAGACGAACTGAAGCATCAGTGAATCTTTCGAGCTGAAGTTGGGAATTTGTGTACATACATAGGTATCTTTTCAGACAAGTGGAAGTTCTGATGGTCTCTATAGACGGAAGGGCCTGAAATGAACCTCTATAAATAAGCTGGCATCATTAATAGATCCGCATAAGTTCAATAAGTCTTTCATTACCCTGGGGAGATGAACTGAAGATTCAGGGAATCTTTCGGGCTGAATTTGAGGGGTTGTACAGACTATGTGGAACACAACAGATCTTTGTTAATGTCCTGGTGTCTCTATAGAATAGCAGAAGCTTAGGCAATCTAATAGGTTGAGAACCTCTATAAACAACAGGATTTTTTTATTACATTGGACCTTAACAGACGAGCACGGACTCAGTTGGTCTTAATAGACGAGCAGAAGCTGAGAAAATCTAGTGGGATGGAAGCATCCATAAACAAGCGGACATTTTGTATTTAAGAGCGCAACTTCAAGAATTCTTTCGAAGAGAACTGAAACATCAGGAAGTCGAACTGGATCTTTTCTAGCGAGATGAAGCTCTTGTGATATTTAAAGATGAGAGGCCTGGAAGGGAGCCTCCATAGACCCATGTAAGTTCAAGGAGTTC